CATATATATATATATATATATATATATATATATATTGATTTTTATCTCGACACATTAAAAGCATTATGATTATAAATTTCAAAGGGAATCGAATAATCCTAAGTCAATAATTATTTCACAATGTTAAAGAAATGTAAACGTTAATGAACGTTTTTTCCACTATATGTTTATATATATAATTTTTTTATATTTCTGTATTATTATTTATTATTTAAATTGTAGCATATGTAATCCATTCTGTCCTGTATATAATAACGACCAAACACATAAGTAAACACGTGAAAAGCATCAAAATTTCTCGACATTTATCGTATTTTTTATGACATTATCTTTCAATGTATTCACCATATCATGAATATATATTTGATTACGCTTTTTATAGAAATTTTCGTGTATAAAAATTAACTTATATGATTCTATTAAATAATATAGTTCTGTTTTATTACAGATTTTAAGATAAAAAAGTTGTAAACTAAAGAACTTTAAATACAAATTAACATGTGTTATCTTGGATAATTGTTATAAAATGAAACATCAACTCACGTTTGATGATAATTTATATAGCGCAGACAGATATTTATATGAAATATTTCCCAATTGATAAAACCAATGGGAAATACAAATAGCCGGACTATTTGTAAATTTTTCATGAAAAATTTTCAAATGCAAAGTTACTCTTCTTGTTGCCATAATTTCCAATATGTATGACTGATAATAATTTATAGTAATATGATAAAATGCATTCAAACAAAACATAACCAGCATAAAAATTAATTCATATAATATCATGTTTGTATGTATATCGATATATTTTGCAATCTGATAATAAACTGTATACTTATAAGATTCGTATGTAAGCAGCGATAATAAAAAAAAAAAACTTTGAAAAGTTTTGATGGAAAATGTAAGAAGAAAAGAATATTGTTGATTGTTACATAAACTAGGACAAGAAACAGCACTTTCAAAATGAAGTATCTAATATCAAAATTTTCAGCAATAAACTTGCTCATTTTGATTTCGACGTAAGAAAAGGTATTTCTAAATATTTGACCTAAATTTATAAATTTGGTTATGGTCAATTCTATTCTAAAAAAAGAATAAATGGAAGTAAAATGTTCGTGTCCTAGTACATAAAAGCATGGATTTATAAATGATATTGAAAAGGCATAGATTAATTGTATTTCATGAAATAATAAATATTATCTTATTTTATATTGATCATGTTTCAATCAATTTTCCATTTCGTCATCTTTATAATCTATATATATATCTATATATATATATACACTCATATATATATACGTATATATATAATATATAGTATATATAGTATATATATAATATATATATAATAATCTTTCTCTAAAAGAAAGTAAATCTCACGAAAGAACATTATTATAGAGAATATTATTTTTAGATTACATTTATGTGAACTACACATAAATTGATACTAATAACATTCAGTGTTGAAAACAACGTATACACTGCATTGTATTACTTTCATTATAAATATATTATTCACACACAAGTAGGTATTTGTCATATTCGAGCCAAGAAAAAGTATAAGTTCATTCTGGCAGTAAAATGTACGTTCTTGCAAACGTTATTTCGTATATATATTTATATGTTGAACCCATGCAATATCGCACGAGGATAATAATTATTTTTTTCTTTCTTCTCTATTCATTTTTTATTAATCTCGTGTCATTGCCCCGTATAAATCCTACGTCAATGGTGATGACAATTCAATCCATCATGGCATACAGTTTTATACTTATGGCATAGAAGTTTTTGTAACATTAACTATCTAAATTATTGTCATCATCACGAGACATATAGAAGTTATCAAAGTATCGACATAATAGTCGAACACTAAGACGTAACAAATAGAATTATAGCTAAATCACTCGCATTCAGCATACCATTAGCCACATAAAAACATTTAGCTATAGCATGTATAACTTTAACAATGCCCCTTTATTCATCGATTAAATTTTTCTCTCAGATTTGCAAATGTAACATGATAATCTGATATTTTTCTTAATCTCAATAAAAAAAATCACATCTTTAAGAAACGCGGACTGTTCTACAAAACATAATACTTTTTTAATAATTGGAAATACAAACTGCGTACACGGTTTCAAACGCAATTACAATAAAATATAATAACACAAGAGATCATGAAAAAATGTATGTTTGTATATATTACAAAAATTGAGATCTGTTAACAACAGACGTAAACTTGCATGTTTAGTAAAAAAGAAATCCTGCAAAACAAAAGCACACTATTCTGATCTTTATAAAAAAATACTGATAAGAAAATATCGAAGTGTTATTCAAAATGTTATACGTGAAAATTATTCACCACAGGTCGAATTATTTTCATTGCTACCGATAAAAATAACATTTTTATCGAATAAAACTTAACAGTCTTCTGGTTAAATGTTGAAATACTGCAGAACAAAAAAGTGTGTTAATATAAAATTAAATTTGTTTGAACGCTATATATATATATATATATACGTTCTTTTTTGAATAAATATAAAACAATTTTTATTAATTGAAACTCGACAAAAATTTATTATTTATAAATTATAAAGCTTTCTTGATATTAGTTTTCTTAAAAAGAAAAATTATTAAGAATGATATATAAGCCATGAGATGTAGAAACAGCGTCATGTATTCATGAATATTATTATCTCGTCTATTGAAAAAGCAATATTAGGCTGAAACGTAGTGAAATAAAATGCAATTCTCTACGTGTATATTTTCTTTCAATTCCGTTTCATAGTTTATCATTGTTTCAGTCCAATATTACTTAACATGCGTAGTAATTGCACAAATAAAAATGGCTCTTACATTATTATTCATCCATACCAGAAATTTAATAATGTTTTTCCAAATATTTCCAAATATCTACTTATTAACAAATTACGGAAGAATTTTTTTCTATCTTTTTTCTTTTTCTTTTTTTTTCATTTTTTTTTTTTTTTTTTTTGAATAATGAGCAAATATTTCTGATTAAACAGAAATTCATTATGACTCGTAATTTGCCAATACTAGCAACTTTGGTAATATCTGTTTCTGGTAACTACGCACAAAATATTATGAAACTAGAAGCGAATGTTCATTCCACGCGAGTATTTTAACTTAGTTAAATAGAGCTATATCGATTTAATTTTATGTTTGTTTATACTTTCATATGAAAAATCATATATATACATATATAATATATATATAATGATGAAATATATATATATATATAATATATATATATAATATATGTATATGTAAACAATACTAAAGTATATAAACATATATTCAAACACTTTCGCTATAAATAATCGTGCACGCACGCACTACGAGATTCTTAAATAAAATATAAAACACAAAAATATAGTAAGTTTCAGACAAAGGAGGTATATTTTTTTAATTAGAAATATATCGATCTATAATTAGAAATATATCGAGCTATAAAGCTACTTCGTAGAAACAATTTATAAAAAAATGATCAATATTAAAGATCATTGCTAATAAGATTATTTTATACTTAATTCTCGAAGTACCCCAATTATTTTCTTCCTTTGTAAAAAAAAAAGCAGTATTAAAAAATATACATTAAATAAAACATATTCAAATATAATATTGAACATACACATAACGAGCAATGAACATAGTTCTACCACATGGTGCGATATTGAGCAGTTTGCACTTGATAATATTCACACTAAGGCAATTTTGTATAATGAATAACACTGCATATTTCTTCCATTCACTCTCACGCGCGAGCATTTGCTCTGCATACCACAAAGTCTTTTTTTTTTTTTGAATAATTTACAATCACTACTTAAGTTTGATACTTAAAATCTGTCTGTGCAAACGAAATGACCAGCTGCTCAGACGGGAGTATAATTTCCCTTCGGTTTATAAAATATCTGCCCACTCGCGAAACGCCTCATAATTTCAGTTAACAATAGACGTTTCTCTTTCCTAATTTTTTTAAGTATACCTCGGTTTTCTTGTGCACGCCGAGAAAGATATGGTAATACTTCTTTGACTGGACCATAAGGAATATATTTGTATGCTGAATATCCAGATTGGCCTAAAAATATTATAAATTGATTATAAAACATTAAATATATTACAGAATATTGAATTAGAAAAAAATTTTTTAAAGATAAAAAATAAGAAATTCTTTTAAATCTTTATTACAAAAAAAAAATACATACCTAGTGGAAATGTTATGTAGTCACACATTCCCAATAATTGACCAAAACAAATCACCTTATCTTCTGGCGAGATTCCTATCTCCTTCATTCTGTTTCATGATAACATATTTGGAATAATACCATGAATATATATAATAATTTAATAAATTTAATAAATAGTAATACGTCTAATATATAATGTATATCTTATAAATAATATATATATGTAAATAATTTTTTTTAGTTATTAATACATTCGATGCAAAAAATGTTTAATTGTAAAGTTGTGAATCTTATTGTTATCGACATCGAAATATTAAAAAATATGAAATAATAATATAGAAAATATTTTATAGTACATACTTTTCTATCGCAAAGCGTACTGTATCTTCATTATGTGATGCAACCATAATTCCGATTTTCTTTGGATCCTCTCCTTTATCTTTGTATTGTTTCATCCGCCTTAAGCATTCCATTAAAGTTCTATGGTAAGAATCAGTTGTAGCTTCGTATGTAGGATTTGTTGGATCAGGATAACCCATCGCTGCGGCTCTTGCTCTCTCCTACATTAAATTTTTTTCAACATAATAGTATAATATAATATAATATAATTTCAATAATTAATATTGATCAATAACACTTTTGCTGATTTAAAGTTATGTCTTTTCTTAAAGTATATAGTCTTAAACGTATGTATATATATATATATATATATATATATATATATATAATATAATAT